GGATAGGGCAGAGTTTAGGGCTGCTGCACATAGGGTCACTATGAGTTGTAGGTAACTGGACAGCACATAACAACAACAACAACAACAACAACAACATGGTGTTTTTTTTTCTTTCTTATTGGTTTGCTTTCAAAGATTATACACATTGTGTTTCACAGTATCCTTCATTCACATTATGTTTCATACAATAATTCTCATGCATTGTTGTTGTTGTTGTTGTCATGTGCCATCGAGTTGCTTGTGACTCATAGTGACCCTATGTACTATCCTGTGCCAACCTCACCAACTCAAACACACTCATTCCCACCACTCCAGTCACAGAATCGATCCATCTCATCAAAGGTCTTCCTCTCCTGTACCGCCCCTCCACTCTCCCAAACATGATGTCCCTCTCCAAGGACCAGTCCCTCCTTGCAACATGCCCAAAGTATGTCATATGAAACTTCAGAATCCTTGACTCCAAGGAGCATTCCGGCTTCACCTAATCCAGGGAAAACCTGTTTGTTCTCCTAGCAGTCCATGGTATATTCAACACTCTTCTCCAGCACCATAGCTCAAAGGCCTCAAATATCTTTCTATCATCCCTATTCACTGTCCAACTCTCTGATGCATAGCATGTAATTGTGCAGACTATAGCCCAGATCAGGTGCACCTTAGTCTCCAGCCTGACTTCGTTGGTCTTCAGTACTCTTGAGAGGTCCCTCACAGCTGACTTTCCCAATGCATTCATCTCTTGATTTCCTGGCTGCTGTTACCAAGAGTGTTGACTGTGTAGCCAAGCAAACTAAAACTGTTAACTCTCTTCACCATCCATACTGATGCTGCCAATTGGCCCAGTGGTGAGAATTTATGTCTTCTTGATATTGAGCCTCAATCCATATTGAAGGCTGCAGTCCTTGTCCTTCTGAAGCAAGTGCTTCAGGTCCTCCTCAGTTTTAGCAAGCAGGGTTGTGTCATCTGCATAGCACAGATTGTTGATGAATCTTCCACCAATCCTGATGCCACATTCCTCCTCGTACAGCCCACTGTCTTGGATGATCTGTTCTGCATACAGATTTAATAGCTTTGGAGACAGAATACATCCATGATGTATCTCCTTCTTGATTTGAACCATGTAGTGTCTCCCTGCTCTGTTCTGATGACTGCCTCCTGATCCAAGTATAGGTTTCTCATTAGCACAATCAAATGTTCTCATGAATTATGTTTTATAAAATTAATCACCACTGGACCTTGACCATCATTATCCTGTCTTTTCATCTGGACTTTTCCCCTTTACTTTCCCCTCTACCTCTACACACCAAACTACCACTAGTAAAATATGTGTGCAAATTCAGGGATGGAGGAGTGGAGGGGTAAGGATTAGTAAGTGCGAAACCACAGGGCTGCTTATTTTTATGTGCTCACAGTGACCCTATATATCTGAACTCTGCTCTATCCTGTGCTCATCCTCATCACCTCTGACACACTTGAGCCGCCCCTTACAGTCACTGTGTCAATCCATCTCTTTGAGGGTCTTCCTCTACTTTACTGATCCTCCACCTTTCCAAGCATGATGTCCTTTTCCGAGGACTGGCCTTGCCTAACATGCCCAAAATAGGTGAGATGAAGTTTCACAATCCTTGCTTTCAAGGAGCACTCTGGCTATACTTTTTCCAAGACATACGTATTTGTCCTTTTGACAGCCAATGGGATATTCAACACTCTTATCCCAAACTACAACTTAAAGATTCTTCGTCATTCCTTATTCATTATCCAACTTTCAAATGTATAGCACAAGCTGTCTAAGGTCATACCACCCTGAATGCACTTGATCTCAAATGTATAGCTAGCAATTAAAAAGATAATGGTTTGGATCAGATGCACTTTAGTCTCTAAATTGACTTCTTTGCTCTTCAATACTTTGCAGAAATCCCTCACAATAGGTTTTCCCAATGTCATATGTCCTTTAATTCCTAGTGGCTTAGTGGTGAGGAAATGTGCTGCCAAGGAAAAGGTACAAGATTCAGATCCCCCAGCTGCTCCATGGAAGAAAGATGGGCAGTCTCTTCCCATGTGACTTACTGCCTCTGAAAATGCACTGAAGGTCACTATTGGTCAGTTACAACTTGACCGTACATGACCACAGTAGCAAGGGTGGGGAGCTCTGGTGGCCTAGGGGCAACACTCTGAATTGCAATCCCAAACATACACAGTTCAAATCCACCTACTTTTCCATGGAATAAGGATGGGCAGCCATCCTCCTGTTTGATTTCGTTCCCCTGGAAACCTGTTGGAGGGTCAGCTCTGGGCTGGTTTTGACTCAATGGCACATAACAATAGAAAAACAGGGTGCTTGTTGTTAATCCAAGCAAATTGAAGCCATTGACAATTTCTATCTTTTCTCCAACTATCATGATACCTGATGGTAAGGATTTGCATTTCTTGATGTTAAGATGTAAAGCTGTAGTCCTTCATTTTTTCCCAATGCAGTCTTTTTTTTAAATAAAATTTATCTCTTGATCCTTCAATCATCCTATCCCTTTTCTTTAGCTTTTGGAGAGATCATTGCTATATTGTTATGGGCCGTCAAGTTTGAGCCCTTAACTGATTCTCCAGCAGATTTTCTAAAGCTGTAAATTTCACAGGAGAAAATTGTTCTTTTTCTTCCCAAGTTGAAGCTGCTTGATTCCAACCCTTTTCCTTCAAATTGTCAGTGCTACTCCTTACCATGAGGTCACCAAAACTAGGATATGTAAGTTTAACCCGTTATTACCTAATACAACTCTTAGTGTTTGTCAAATAACTTAGAAGATTCTGACTAGGCTTTTTACATGCAAACAACATTTTGCAGCAATCATTTTCCGCTTTTCACTACTACAGATTTATCAGTCATACCCCTGTGTCATGCACTTTAACAGAGTGAAATAAATGGAGTATGTTGTTATTTTCACCTAGACTTTACTTATAACATATTTTCTTCTAGGAATGTTGACCAGCATCTTGTGGTAGGACAGGTAAAACAAACTAGGTCTAAAACTTCTAGTTGTTGAGTCACTTCTGACTCATGACATCTCCATGTGTGTCAGAAAGAATTCTTCTTTGCAGGGCTTTAAATGGCTAACTTTCCTGATTTATATCACCAAATCTTTCTTCTGAGGCATCCCTGAGTGAAACAGAACCCCAATTAGTACACAAGCATGTTAAATATTTGCACACCTAAGAACTCTGCTAAGACTAGACTGGTATGGTTATTTGAGATCAATAAACATTGTATTTTGGAACTTAGATCTTTATTTTAAAGGGCAAACATATTAATTACATTTAAATTGTAAAATTTAATTAACAAATTAGTTGCCCCAAATCAAATTAACTTCTATTGAATCACTTCCTAGTCTATTCTCTTTTGCAAAGTTTTCAAGGAGATAAATCTATAGGGAAATTGATGCTATATATTTACACTTTAGGGTGCTTGGTCGGTGCACTGACCACCGATTGAATCACTGTGTCACTAGGTAACCTTCGTATTTGCCTGATCATTGCCAAATAGTCTGCATATCAGATAATTCCTATCCAAATTACATAAAATAGAAACTCTCATCTGTTATATTTACAGCTTAGAAAAATTGAGCGATTGGTAATATTGCAGATGGAAGAACCAGGACTGGACTCCTGTCTGTCTGGACCATTTACTTTTGTTGTAAAATCTATGTATTTTAGGCAAAACTGGATGAGGCAGAACTGAAAACTAATGGTCTACAGAACAAATCTTGCTGGGTAATTTTATTTGATCAGTATAATTGTGGGTTATTAAAAAAAAGTTAAATTACCTGCCAACACTTCAAAACGATGAAATACCAAATAATAATCTGGATGTTTACTTTGCCATCAGAATCAACACATCTGTTAATATCAGCCTAGTATTTGGGAACTGGGTTATTATCTGCCACATCTTTGTCACCTCTCTATTTATCCTCCACAAGTTTTACTTTATTCACTTACTTTACAGCACAGCCTTTGTAGGGATTCAAGTCTAGTGTTTCAAAGAGCCATAGAGAGGTAAAGAGGTTAATCTTGTTATCGGTGATATCTTAGATTCTGAGTTCTTGAGCCCAGATGCCTCAGTGCGTTTCCATCTTCTACTATTGGTCACTGATGTTTCTACACACATTCTTGAAGGGAAGTCTTTCTTCTATCACAGTGAACTTGAGATGCTTGCTATAAAACACTTATTTTTTTTCCTCAACCCTATTTAATATTGCATGATTTAGAAGCAAATTCATTGTTTTTGAGCCAGAACTGAACTCCCCAGTGTGTTTCCAAGGTTGAAAATTTCACAAGAGAAGATTGTTCATCTTTCGCACAGGGAGCCAGTGGCATGTTCGAACATCCAGAGAGGCATGGACTGTAGGTTAGCAATGCAGCCCTAAGGGCTATGCCACCAGAGTGACAGGCACGCTCTTCTCTTGCCAGGTACTGCCCAGTCTTTGGGGGCAGCACTTGTCCTTCACTCCTCTATTGATCCCTTTCTTGTATCCATTCACCCTGCCGACTCTGAGTTCTCTAGTTGTGTTATCTTCCAGTGCAGTTCTAGTTGGTCGCGGGCCCCTTACTGAGCCTCAGTTTCCTCTCCATAGAGTCGGATTCTAGGGGATTATTTGCTAGTTATCCATCTCACAGAGTCACTTCTAGACCATTGGGTTTTTGGAAGCCATTACAAAGTTCTACGTAATTAGAAGGCTAAGGAAGTAGACTCCTTTATAAGAGAGTGACAGAATTTTGGAAGTACATGTGAATTAGAAACATTCCTGTGACATATTTGAAAAATATCACCTGCTACATTATATTATATTTCTCCCTTCCAAATTGAGAGTTCCATAATGACTATTATATATATTCCATCCTAATATACATTGTTGAATAAATAAAGTCTTTACCATATCATGCTGCTTATATAATATAAAAGAGAGAGAAGGGTAAGGGTACGTTTAAAGAAATACTGCCTCTAGGACCAGGCCCAGCTACTAACAAAAGGCACGGGTGACCCGATCTCGTATCTGTTTGGTCTTCACACTGTAAACAATGGGATTCATCAGGGGTGGAACTAGAAGATACACAAAGCCCATGATCACTTGGACCAAATGGGGTGCCTGCTTCCCAAAGCGGTGGATGACAGACAAGCCAATCATTGGAGTGTAAAAGAGCAACACAGCACAGATGTGGGAGACACAGGTGTTCAGAGCTTTCAGTCTCTCAGCTCTGGAAGCGATAGACATCACAGTGCGCAGGATGAGGGCGTAGGAGAAAAGTATAAGCAATGAGTCTACACCTACTGTTGAAACAATGACAAACATCCCATATATGCTGTTGGCCTTGATGTCTGCACAGGCTAACTTCATTACTTCCTGGTGGAGACAATAGGAGTGTGAGAGGACTGAGGAACCACAATAAGGGAATCTCTTGAGCATAAAGGGCAATGGGAAAATGAGCGCTACACTGCGGCCCAGGGAAGCCAGGCCAATCCTGCCAATGGCTGTGTTGGTAAGGATGGATGCATAATGTAAGGGACGGCAAATGGCCACAAAGCGGTCAAAGGCCATTGACAGTAGCACAGAGGACTCTAGAAAGGATAAGCAGTGAATGAAAAAGAGCTGCGCAAAACAGGCATCATGGCCAATCTCTCGCATCCCTATCCAAAAAATGCCTAGCACTGTTGGAAGGGTACAAAGGGAGAGACCTAGGTCAGTCAAAGCCAGCATGGACAGGAAGAGGTACATGGGCTCGTGGAGCGAGGGCTCCGTTTTAATGATAAAGAGAATCATGCAGTTTCCCAGGATTGAAACCAGGTACATGAAGCACAGAGGAATGGAGATCCAGATGTGTAAGTGCTCCAGCCCAGGAATGCCGCTCAACAGGAAGGCAGAAGAAACGCTGCTGCTGTTTCCAAGGGGTGCCTGTGTCATTATGCCTGAAGGGGAGGGGAGTTGGATTTTCTTCAAAATCCTGCAATGAATAGAGGCGATGACGACTTTTAAATAGGTATATATATGTTTGTAAGCAGATTTAGAACGATATAGTTCCTCCAGTGGTTGTGACACACCCTGATTCCTCACACTTTGTAAGTAAATCAGTGTACAATTTTAAAAAAAATAACACTATAAAAAGGAAACTCAAATTTTAAAAAAGAACACTGATACATAGACTTGCCATTAAAGTTGTGTAACTTTAAAAGTTAAGCTAAGTGATTTGGAAAGTTAAGCTAAGTGATTTGGAAATCCTTCACATTTTATAACTCTGTTCTGGCTCATCCAACAGAAAGAACCTACAAGAAATAAACATCAGTGGAGAGAGCTCGCAAGTCTTCTAGGGACTGTAGTTTGGCTGTGGTGGTTACCACAAACAAAACAAAAATCACAATTCTTTTTAGGGACTTGTCTGCCACATAACCATGATTTCTTGTCTCCCAGTACCTCTTAGTTTTGGTGGCTTAGTGGTATAGAGTTGTGCTGTCAATTCAAAGGAATATGGTTCAAATCCACCAGCTGCTATGCTGGAGAAAGATGGGCAGTCAGCTTCCACGTGAATTACTGCCTCTGAAAAACCACTGAAGGATAAGCTTTGAGTCAGTGCTAACTCGATAGTAACATTACAAACAGTACAAACTAAAAGGTAAGAGACACATTTGTATGTATCCTTGTTGGTCATACTTAAATTTGTTCTGTTTTAGAAGTATACTTTCCTTTCAGGACCATCATTAATGTTCTTGCCTTTCATTAATGATCTCTTAGTGGTCCTTGTCTTAACTTTGCTTTGTTTTCTACTTTTGTGATTTTGTGTGCGTTTAAACTCATTTGTATAAGCATGACCTCTTACCTTAGAGAAAGACCAACTCAGATCTCCCTGCCTTAAAATGCTGGCTTGCTCCAGACAGCTCATAAATGTTCAGTTCAAAGGAGTCCAGAGAGAACTTCAGCGTGTGTTTTAGCATCATTCCTGATGTTAGAACAAGAAATCAAAGTCCTATTCTCAAGCCAGTCGGTTACTTTAATTTCCCAGAACTGTAGGACTCCCACTTCTTTGAATTTTACTAGCAGAGAAGACTGAAGTATTTCTCTCAACCTTAAGAAATCATAGGATAGTTCAATGGTGTGAGTAGAGTGCAGTCGTCTAAAGAGGGAAAAAGGCTCAAGGAAAATGAATACAGTATTAAAGTACTGTCACTGGTAGTGGGGACTGGATTTTAGAGATGACAGCAATTTAACAATGGCCATTCAGCAACCAGTTACACCCTCTCCTGTGAAAATATATCTTAGAGGAAATTTAGAAGATTCAATGATGATTTTAAGATACATGACTCAGGACAAATACTGAATACTGTCACTGTTGTAAAATGGGACTGACATCAGGGTTGGGGGGAGACTGGGAAAGAGGGCATAAATAATGTATACTGCATTGAAACAAATGAGGGAGAGAACTGTTTAAAAGGGAGATGTGATTAGATATTGTTGTCAAGACAGGAATCCAGAATGAAGGCTGCATAGTGGAATGGACTTGGGGGAGGGATTTTATAACAATGAAATAATTTTACTTTTCAAAAAGAAGAGCAAACTGGAGGTGGGGGTAAGACTGGACAGAAGAAAAGTGCAGCAATGAGTAAATGGAAATCCAAAGTCTCTGTAAACTTTCATTAAAATTAATTTTAAAAAATTAAAAAATAAAAACAAACAAACAAACAAAACTACAAAAAAAGTTATATGACTCACACTCTATGGTCACTCTGGGAAATATTTTTTATATGACAGTCAAGATTTTTTTCCCAGATCCCTATCTCTTTGGTTCTTGGAGATATTCGATTCTACCAACCTTGTGTTTAAAGCTAAGTGTGGATGCAGAACCTATACTCATGAAGTCTTTTCCTTCCTGAATTTTTATTTTTCCCATTTATTCTATCTCCATGAAGCTCATCAATAATATTACAATGCTATCATATCAAAATAAGGAACTACTCTCTGGCCATTAAAGTGAGCAACTAGACAGATTTTTAAAAAAAATTATTGAACCTTTTCCAACTAAGAAAAGACCTGGGATCCCATGAAGTCAGTAAGAGCAGAAAGTAGCTACCACCATCTTCAGCAGACACTTGTATGTTCTTTCCTGTGCTTTGAAGTCACATTTACTTTTCTTCTCCAGAACTCAGGTTCAACTTTCTGGGAATTCTTCTTGCTTCACTGAGCACCTGCTCTCTCTATTGACTCTTTGTAAATTAAGATGAGAGACTTCAAAGACTAGAGAGAGACTGAAGAGCGATGTTTAAATCCCTGCTTTGTAAAATGTTTTTCTCTAAAGTCCCTACTGAGACTTTCTGGAGAATTTTTGATCATTTCCCTAGTGGGCCTGACTTTGTGGGCTTCGTTAACATCACACCCTGCAGACAGGCCTTATGATACGTGGATGCCTTATACTTAAATCAGCTGCTGAAGAATATGCAACTTGTATTGTTTTACATGTGATACATCATGTTAGTATAGTTTATGCACTTCTAATGACAGTGTGCATGCTGACTTGACACCAAAGAAAAAACTTTTTAATTGAATAATTCTCTGTAACCAGAGGGGAAGAAAGTAGTCAGGTCTAGTCCACGTCCTAGAATTTTTGTGATGGTGTTGATACTCATTTTTGATGGTTCCTGTAACCCTTCATGCTCCCTCTGATCTTCATCTAGACTCAGATATCCCCTTTCTTCTAATCTCTGGTCCACACAGAACTAGCTTTTTCTTTATAAACTTCAATGAGCTAATTTGAGATAAAAGGAGAAGATATTTTA